GGGGGGGGGGGCGCTCCTCTGGAGGCTGTGGGGAGAACTGGGTCCCAAGCTCATTCAGGTTGTCGGCCAGCTTCCCTTCCTTGCGGTCGGGGCACGGAGGTGCCCCCTGCTGGCTGTCCACCGCCGGGGGCTGCCCTCCGCTCCTGGAGGCCGCTCTCCTGTGGCTCCTCGCCAGCAGCTCCTCCATGTTCAAAGCCAGCAATGGAGAATCATCTCTCTGGGGCTGAATCCCTCTCACACTTTGAATTTCCCTGACTTCCTCCAGAAAAAGGCAGGCACACGGGCCAGACCGGGCACCAGCTGGCTTGCCCGCCTGTGGGTGCCCAGGCCCCTGACTGGAGCAGAGAAAGGTAAAAGTGAGCAGGACAGGGAAGGAGGGGTGTGAGACCCGGGGAAGCAGGGGAGGCTCCAGGAGGAGGGCTGGCGGCTAGGGTTTGGTGAGCTCCAAGGAGGAGGCAGGGGATGGAGAGACGGATGGCCCCGCAGCTTTCTAAGGCTTATGAGCCTTAGGTGGGAAGGGGCAAGGTGGGAGGGAACGTGCAGGTCCTCAGAGGGACCCCAGCCTCTGGCTCCAGCTCACTGCCTTAGAGGCTGAGGCGAGCCCGAATCCAGGGGCTGTAAGTGGCCACGTTGGTGTAGACACCTGGACGGTTGGGCAGCGCACAGCCCTTGCCCCAGCTCACCACACCCACTAGGACCCAGCGCCCAGACGTCACACAGGTCAGGGGTCCCCCAGAGTCACCCTGCAGGAGAAAGTCAGGCTTAGATCTCAGCCCTCTGAAGATCTGGGATGGCATTTCTGGGGGTTAGGGGCCAGGAGGTACAGCCCCTGGGTCTTGGGTTCTAGGGAGCTGGGACGGGAGCCGGGTTCCAGGGGCTCCAGGCAGCTTCCCGCACCTGGCAGGCATCTTTGTGGCCCTCGACGTAGCCGGCACACAGGTTCCCGGGCAGCACTATGTGCTCCGCTCTGGGCACACTGGTGCCCACGTGGTAGAGGCGGTCACAGGTGCGCACGTCCAGCAGCGGCACCCTTACTCCCTGCAGAGGTCGCCACTCTGGGAGTGGCACTGGGGGGAGGAAGGGGGACTATAGGAGCGGGGGAAAGGGCGAGGCAGGAAGCAGGAGTGGTGGGACCCGCCTGTCTGACCGG